GTTTGGTTAACCTAAAAGAACAATGGAATTGAATACAGAATTTGTTATTTTTAAACTCTCAATCATAGAAATTAGGAAATGATATCTATTTATATGGAATTTGAACTTGGAAATTTGTTATAAATTCTGACTTTTACCAAAATTTCAAGTTTATTTCCTTCATTCAAACATAGTGTTAGGTTTCAGAATTCTTCTCTATGAAATTATTGTAACCACTCATCCCCCTTACCTAACAATACTTAAAAAGAAAAATTCATTGGTTCTCCACCGAAACAATCTTGGTGGGCCTCTCGTCCAGTCTTATGGAAGAAATCTCAAGTGCGAATCTATAGTCTTGGTGGAACTATCTTCTATTATTAGGGACGAAATCCAAGTTCAAATCCCCATCTCGAAAGATAATTGGGAATTCAACTTTTCTATCAAATTTAAACACATCAATGGCCCAATGCTGCTTTTAAACGCGTCAATCCGAATGACTACATAATACTCTAAAAATATTATCTTGCACCCCTCGCTAATGAAATTAAATAAAAAAAACTAATTAAAATAGTTTGATAACTTTGAGTTTTAACGAAAATGACAGAAAATGTGTTGTAAGTGATAGTACCCTGATTGATTTTTTTAAATAAAAATATAATTTTTCATTAAAGTGAACAGCACCGGAAACTTTTCGTTAAATTTCCTGATAAAAGAGAATAGTGCAGATAACACTTATTTTAAGGCCAACGACAAATCCCTATTAAAATTGGTACAATACGTTTTTGGTGACTTGTACCCTCTTAGAAATCAAATATTTTGCACTCAAAATAATTGTGGCCTCTCGGTGACCCCAATCAATGCCTGACACATTTATAAATTTAACTTTTCTAATTTTGTTGTTATAAACTTAATATGTATCAGTTATTGATTGAAGCCACATAGAGACCACACCCATTTTGAAGACGGAAGATTTGATCTCGATCCGAAGTTCGGAGGTTACAAGTCACAACCAATGAGTGAAGCATTCAGAACTGGAATCAAGAAAGCAAAAGACTATCCATCCATAGGCAACGCACTCATTTCTTATGCCAAAGTAGTAGTAGTAGCATCATATAGGGAGTTTCTTTCACACAAAAAATACATCTTCCGCCTCATGACACGTCCGAATATCACTACTTTTAACTAAGTACAGAGTTGCAACAGATATATGATCTTTCTCTTAACAATTACGGCAATATAATTGCAGAAGTTTGGACTGACGAGGCCAAATGATTTTCTTGACAACAGCAAAGGGCTCATTTTCCGCAGTTGAAACCATGGCAAATGGAGAGTATTATGATAAGGATTAAGGCGATCAGGATTCCTAAAACAATCAGCTTCACCTTCATGTTCTGCAGCCACATCTTCCTCCGCATTTTAGTCCCCACAGTCCGAAAATCCTGTGCCTGTAAGCAGGTCATTTTTTCCCCGTAAGTAGGGAACACAGAATAACAACTCGTTCAGAGGAAACAACATCTTGAAAGATGAATCAATTTCGAATGACACCACACATTATGCATTAGCAACGTGCTCAGACTTATGTGGGTGGCATGCCAATTCAATAGGGAAATACTTGTACAAAAAACTATTCTATTTATTAAACAAGACCATGCAAATGATAGAGAACGAGATACGACCTGTTGATGAAGGTTCTCAGTCTTGTCGACTAAAAGCTCTATCTTTTCCCCCCTATCCAAAACCTGCATCAAAATGCAAAACGAACATATGAGAAGATTATACTACACAACGTGTACAGAAAAACAGGTTTGAAAAAGGCATCTTGAGCAAGCAAGTTACAAGTTCATCTAATGACATTTATTCTATGTCTATAAGAATGGATGCATATACAACCAAAATCAACAATCATCGAACTTAGCCAGTGTAAAATATAACCCCTCAATGGACACAATGCTATCCGATATCACCACATCCCCCTTTCCAAATCCCAACTATCATTGCTTCTTCCACGTTGCCCGATCTGTTAGTAGCTTAGCTTCTAACAACACACATAAGATTGCACATGCTCATTTATGGACGTGTGTCCAGAGCTGTGTACAATTAAATGCCCAACAATTACTGAAGAACATCTCTTCCTAAAGTCCAGGGCGAAAACCCCCAATTCTATCTATTTTCCCAAATTCAAAATAAATAAATGGGCAAAAACGTAACCAATTCAGAAATACATAGATGCGTGAAGCTCAGGCAGTTACTATTTGAATCAATAATATTGTATCCCAGGATTATCAAACAATCTGATACAAACCAAGTGAACAATACAGATACACCACCAATGTTGTCTACCTTTTCAATATTCTCCATCATAACGCCTTTAACTTCTGAAACCTGGGCCTTCACCTTTGCAAGCTTGCTTATTTCTTCAGGATGATCAACACAGTATTGCATATGTTCCTTCAATTTTGACCTGCCATTAACCGAAGAAAAAATTACCAGTTTTAGCCAGATAAAAATACAATCACCGTGCATTTTACATCCTAATCAGGTAAAGTACCCAAATTCCTTGTTAAGGCTGTTGGCAGCAGCTGTAGCAGCCTTTCCAGCACCATATTTCGCGACAAAGTCATCCTTGACACGCTCCAGAAAAGCAATAGGTACTTGTCTTCCACTCGATTCATCTGCAACCACACAGTATGCTGCAACAACGACAAACTTCGGTGAGTACATTGATTGAATAACGCACCGGTAACTTTTGAATTGACACTAACAAGAACTTTAAAAAACTCGGTTCTAAGATTTTAAACACAGGAATTTCGAATATCCTAACAATTTCAACATCCAGGAAATCACGGCATTGGAACTATTTTCGACAATCGAAGTGCAACAAGACGATTCACGCTTGCACGCTTGCACACTTGCAAAGCGCAAATGAATAAAGATATCTTCAAATATAAGCCGAAGATCCAAGATCTAGAAACTCCAATGCACAGAAACCGAAATTTTGCGCCGAAAACTCAAAATTTACAAAACAAAACCAAAGCATCAAGATCAAGCTCAGATCTAACAACAATTAGGCACACCAAACGGAGCACAACAAAGCAAAGCAAAACGAACAAATCAAACAATCAACACAACATAAAGTAGAAATTCCAGCATTTTCTCGGGAGACAAACGGAAAATAAAAGGAAAGGGAAAAAGGAGATTACTGTAGCCATTGTCGACGAGGTAATTGAAGGTGTGGCCATCGCAGTTGTAGGTGAACTTGTTGTTGGTAGCAGGAAGCTTCTGGAGGCACTGAAACGCAATGGAGTTGAAATTGCCGCTGAATTCCGTGTACTCGGCGAGAACCACAGTGCCGCGCGCCACGAACGCGTAGATCAGCGCCTTCTGCCCCATTTTTTGCTCCAACCTTCTGCTCTCTGCCTACCGCTGTGCGTTCTTGTTCTCGTTTCAGAGAGCCGCACAGCGATTCCGTAATTTTTATGCTTTTTTCTTTCGAATTTTTGGGGGTTGGGTTGGATTTTTTGGGTTTTGATGCGTGAAGCGCCCTTTTTGTCTCTCTCTCTCTCTGATCTGGCCTCCCACTGGATTTGTTTTAGAGAGAGAAAAGGGAATGTTTAAGGGGGAGTTTAATGAGGTTTAAAAAGTAGAGAGAGAGGTGAGGGAGAAGAAATGTCGGGTTTAAATTTTAAAAATATGGATTAAAAGTTTAATTAGAGTGAGAGGGATTTTTTGGGGAAAGATTGTTGTGGGGTTGGACTCATGAGAGACTCACGAGCTCTTTCTTTCTTTCTTTTCTTAGTATTGATTTGGTACCGAGGTACTTTAAAAAAAATCGGGTATCAAAATTTTTTGTATTTTGTAAATATTCAACTTTAGCTTTTAAAAAATTAATAACTTAAAACACGTGGTGTACCACTTTGTTCCCATCACAATTAAAACAAAAATTTATCCTACCTGTATTGTACGGAATAACACATATTTCAATATTTTAATCCAAAAGAGGAAGCGTAACAATAAAAATTAAGAGAGATTAAGCATCAATTTGCCTGGCCCACCCGTGACGTCACCACTCACAGTCACCGTCTCACTCTCACACCATAAGAAAGAAATGAAATGTAAAGAGAGAGAGATGATGCAAAACAAAAACAAGTTTAATATCTTTTTTTTGTTTTTCAGTTTCAGTTTTCATAATTCTTTCGTTTTATATTTTTATTTTTAATTTATTAAATTTAAAACGTTCAGAAGTATTCACTATAAATTATTAACAAAGAAAACAAAAGTACAAACTTCAGCACAATACGAATGCAAAACTAAGTTCAAATCGCAAAAAGAAAAAGTTTCAACACACATACCGAATTGTTCTATAAGGTGAAAAAGCGAAAAAGGAAAAGACAGATTTCATCGACTGCCCCCCCCCCCCCGATTTAGAGTTTTATATAATTTTCACACACTCTGTGTGTTAATAATTTTTTTTATTTTTTTATTTTTTTTTATTAAGGAATGTGATTAGTTTTTAAAATTTTAAAAAAAGTATGAAAAAATGATAGTGGAACAATTTCTCTTATTGTGTATCAAAAGTGAGGGTAAAATAGAAAAATAGGAATATGATTGTCATTTTGTAAAAAAGAGAGGGTAAAATAAAAAAATTGGGATATGATTGTCATTTTGTCAAAATATACAAAATTACTATTTTGCCTTTCTCATGTCAATAGTGTATAAAGGCAAAATTGGAAAAAAGGGACAAAAATTTGACAAGGGCTCTTCTCTCAGTAGAATAGATAAGTACATTGCTCCTACAAGCAATCAAGGATTCTTTTGGCAAAGCAACCATTAAAAATAAGACTTTTCAGCCAAAATTGTTCCTGAAATTGATATAATCCCTCACTTCGGTCCTTAAGATTCAAAATCAATATAAGTGATTCCTGAAATTGTCCAGCATCAATTAAAGCTCAAAGACCAAGGTAAGACGTTAAGTCAATATCATGGACCATTTTAGTAAAAAGCCTTAAAATAAAGAATCCACATGGTCTCCAACACAACTATACGATTTAATTTAAAAAAATAATACTTAATATACAACTTAAATACAGTTCACATTCATAAATCTTCGTATTTCGATGGTTTACTCAGATGCCAGAGGTCACTTTGAATCTCTATTCCGACCCCAATTCCCTGTGATCGGGGGTGGAAACGATATGAAAGACGTTTTCCTTTTCAGTTTTAGATGCTTTGTGCCGTTGGTTCGAATGCTCTATGGTTTTTCATGTCAAAACTAAACCAAGGCAGAAGATAAACAGTCTGCAATAAGCTGCAAACCATGAGATGCTTGCATGTCTCACCGGAGAGGCGTATCTGTGTTGCCAATCTTTACATATTACTGTGTTTTTGAAGGTGGCAGCTTAGGTTGTGCCCATGCTGGCGAACTGTCGAGCCAAAGTCCTTCACCTGTTTCTTTGTGCTTAAAATCCGGAGCTTTTGGATTCCGCTGTGTATAACAGAGTAGCAAGGTAACAAATTGATCAAACAATTCAATTGGGTGTGCGTAGGAGGACAGCATGCAAGACGGACTAAATTCAAGAGGGTTACCTTATTCAATCTATTATCCCACCATTTATCCGGGTTTTCCACCAAGTTCTTCCAGGAATCCTCCCCTGATTCGAGGAGTAACAAAGTAGATTTTAGACAGATTAAGTTAAGAAAATTCCAAAACCCTCCAACGGCTTAAACAGTTGCATGAAAGCATGACAGAATACAGATTGGATAATGCAGGGTAGTACACAATAAATTTGTGCAAGCTCACCTTTACTCTCTTTTACTTGTTTTGACTTCTGAATTTGAACATCAAAATGCAGGCCTTCAAGTTCTGACAAAACCGACTTTGGTGCCTTCTCAAGCCAGAGAGCATGACCACCTTCCTTCCGCTTGAAATCAGGGTAGTTTGGCTTTACCTGTAAGGGAAACAATTATGTCAAATCTTTTACCAGGAAAATCAGTCAGATAACAAAGAGTTTGTAAGGAATCATCACCAATCCATTGAGCTTCTTACTGCGGCAGTCCCACCATTGTTTTGGATTACTAAGAAGATCACTCCAAGAACCCAACGTAGAGTCCCCATCATTCCTCAAGATGGCTGAAAAACAATTCAGTACCTCCCTTTTCGTCAGTAACAAGATTATAATAAGTAAACACTTTAAACATTTATTTTATTAAGTCAACCCAGCATGAAAAAAATGAATGTGAAATCTTTCAATGGCCAAGAAATTACTTTCACGAGTATCTGATATAGGTTTCTGAGTCTCTGGCTTCTGACTATCTGGTATAGGTTTCTTATCAAATGTCAAAGAATCTAACTTGTTTAGGATCAATTCAGGAGTTTTGTCATTTATCCAAAGTAACTCGCCATTGTTCTTCCGTTCAAAAGCTGCAGCCTTTGGATCCTGAGCACACATTATAACAAGTATGATTAACTATTTACAAATAAAAGGAACAACATCCCCATTTATAAAACACAAGCGGTAACCCATATAGATTTGGTACCTCTTTCAACCTGATGTCCCACCACTCATGAGGCTTGGCAAGGAGATCTTTCCATGCGAGAAGATCTTTCTTCCATGATTGATCCCTGTCATCATATACAACTGCTACAATAAAAGCATGTATGAACCTTATTAGAGGTTGCTAATCGAAAGTAGGGTGGTATTTTCAGTATTAGACTTCAATGACAATCCTAAAAATTATAGTTCCTAACAGTGTTCTAGCCACCAGGTAGACTTTTGTATGGCAACGACATAAGCACATGCTTCGACCAGTATAATGCTCATAAAGACAATATTCAAAGATGACCCATATAATACACGAAACAAAGCTGTCCGATACAACTGATGAAACAAAAGATCGGAAAAATGAGTAATGTCTTCCCAAAATTGAACTTTAGCAACATTCCTAACCACAATCTAGACAATTGAGAGAAGGAAAACTGCCTGACAGACCCTCAATAAAGCAGGAGTTGTGCGCAATAGAGTGCACTCAATAGTTTTTCTTTTCAGAAGAGACAGAAATTTTATTTAGTGGGGGACAGTGGACTCCATACACACTCCTAATAACCACCGACCCTTGCAGTACAATGATATTTCTCTCTCTATCTGAATAGGGATTTAGGGGAAATGGAGACTGTCTGTGAACATTACTCTTTTGAAATGGAGATAAAAAGGGTTTCTAAACCAATTAATAGAAACAATAAAATGAAAGAAGGTACAAAAAAAATGCACACAGCCACAAACATTATACGAAGTTGTGAGCACACCTAGCATGAAAGGACCAGTATAAACTCTTTGAACAGATATAACTTTTGAATCAAAGTACTCGATAATTGTGTGTTTTAAATCTAATGCTTGCAGCTCCTAGCATATCTTCTGGGGGACAAATGTTGTCTCATGTTCTCTAAACTTCTAAGTTTTATCAAACACATGCATACAATTCATTTACTATGTTTTCTTTTAGTTAAAAGTTAAAACTCCCCAAATATGAAAAGTAAATATAAAACACCAACTAAAGTACCGATTGATGAGATTACACATTAATGTACTATACTGTCAATATCTTAAGCATTTCATAGCACCATATTTCAATATTACATAGAAAAGGTAGCACCGATACTTCAGTGCGTGATTATAATCCAAGTACTACAAGGTGACAAAATAGAAGCTGAGAATCACTTGAATGAACTTACCAGTGTGATCAGTTGTCCTTTCTTCTTGTCTGTCAGCTTTAGAGCTTTTATTCAGTTGATAAGATTCTTCAACAAAGTTGAGGGTATGCACCAAAACCTAACAAAGTTAGACCTTAATTGTTAGATACATATGAACACGCATCAACTGTATACTCAACCTATAAAAAGAAAGGGCATTCGAAATAAAGAAAACACTAGAGCAGAAAATTGCACCTTCCACAATTGCTAAATTAATGTACGAGTAATTACAGCAATATTGGCTTCTAATCAATGTGACATAAACCTCAAAACTAGCAAGAAGACTGAAACTACGAAAACCGCTATGTAAAATCGACTCAACCATACTAAACCATAGTTCATGCTAAGTTTGAGTCAAGCTAACACTGCCTTCTCATTTACAAAGAGATGCAGAGAGATTAAAGAGGCACCCTTGTAAACAACATGCGACAAACACTTGAAGCGCAGAGAGTAATGAGTACGCAATAAAATCGCTAAAAACTAAACAAATGCATTATCTAAGGGAAATCATATGAACCCACATTTCAAGTAACTACAGAAAATGGAAATTCGGCATACAGGATGCACTAGAATTTACCTGAAGACGAGCCTGGTCCTCAGCGGCACTCAAATTTTCCAAATCCGACCTCAAACTTCCAGCAACAAACACAAAGTCACTGTCTTTCAAATGCAGATCAGCAGTATGAGCCAAGTCGCCCTCAAAGACGATGGGAATCCTGACAAAGAACCAACCCAAAATTCAAAAATCCTGCATAATAACAACTACAGAAACAAACCCAAGTGATCGAATTTGGAATTCGATTTACCGAAAGGTGTAACCCGGAGAGGAACAAGAGGAGGTGAGAACGGTGGCGGCCAAGACTTTGCCATCAGGAGTACGCACGACTTGAAGAGGGGTACGCACGTGACCAATGAGGCGCACCGAATTGGCGACCTTTGGCTGGAAGGGGACTTGGGTCGGGGCCGGCAAATCGGGGTTTGGCGGCGGCTGCGGTGGTTTGGACTTGAAGCGGGGTTTAGTGACGGTGTAGGTGGTTGAGGTTTTGGGTTTAGTGGCGGTGGTGGAGAAGTGGGATTGGAGAAGAAGCAAGGGGCGCGAGAGAAGGCGTTTTCTGGTCTGTATTGCTCTGCTTATTGAATTCATGGCGGAAACCAGTCTCCTTTTCTTCGATTTGTCGGGACTGAGAGTCAGAGCAATAAACCCAAAACCCCAAAGACAAGCAAAGTTACAGGGAACATCCAAAATTACGGAACCGGATCCCCTCCGGAACCCACGAACTAAATGATTAGATGGTGTGGCACATTGAATTTGATCCGACAATTGTAAATAAGAGATTTTTTAAAAAGTTATAATAATTGTAACTGTTAAATTAAATTTTAATGATTCGGATAATTTGATTATTGATTCAGTTTCTTTGGATGAGATTCAGTTCCCAAAGGTACCGTTTTGGTAAGTGGGACGAGACGTTTAATCCCACGTTTGGTGTGCCTAAAGCGGGTGGAACGCGTTGTTCCACATGATGAATTTTGGGTGAATTTTCGTTCCGCCTCACCCCTGTAACGACTCGTTCCACATCCGTGGAACACAAAATTATAACATCTCCTTCTCCTTCTTATTCCTCCTTATTTTCATCTAAGGACATCTTTGCTCTCTCTCTTCCGTGCCGTCCTATCCTATCCCGTCTCATTTCATTCTGTCCCAGTTCCGTTTGCATACCAAACGAAATCAAAATTACCGCAAAAAAATATCAAAAGAAAAGCACGTGCCGGTTCGATCGGGTTGCGTCAGCGGGCCGGAGCTTTGTTTAGAATGCTTGTGAAGGTTCTCGCACTTTCTCAACGGTTGTATGCGTAGGTAAGACGGACACTGCCATCTGCTCCTGCCGCCAACGAAACATCTCAAAACTCCCGCACATTCTTTTCAATCGCAGAGAAAGAAACAACACAAAGAGAAGACAAGAAACATGGAAGGCAATGGCAATAGCAACACCCAAGACCAGAATCAAATCGTGGATGTCCGCTCGGTGGTCGAAGCCGTCTCCGCCGACGACTCCGACGCCCCTCTCTACCGAGTCGAAAGCCTCTGCATGCGCTGCGGCGAAAACGTACTCTCTCTCTCTCTCTCTCTCTCTCTCTCTCTCTCTCAATTTCTTCTTAGGGCTTCTCTGTGTTACTTTTTATCTTCAAATTTGTTAATTTTATTGTTAATCTCAGGGGACTACCAGTTTTCTGCTGACTCTGATTCCACACTTCAGAAAGGTATGCCTCTAATTGCTTATAAAGTTGGCCAATTTCTTCTTGTTGCTGTTGTTGTTTTGTGTACTTGAAAGTGTTTTGTTGGTTTGCAGATTTTGCTTTCGGCTTTCGAGTGCCCGCATTGCAATGAGAGGTAAAACTTAAAACTATGTGATTATAATTGTTCAGTTTTTTTATTGGTTTAGGGAAATTTTTGTTTTTGATTTTCGATTTTGTATGTTTTGTGTCGAACACAGAAATAATGAGGTTCAGTTTGCTGGTGAAATCCAACCCAAGGGTTGCTGCTACCGGTTGGAGGTGCCTTCCGGCGATCCCAAGGTTAGACTAATCAAATTTTTATAATTTGCATTATGTGGATCATTTTATCTCTTGTTTTTGTCGCAAATTTTCCGTATTTAGCCAAATTGCCAAGAAGTACTTATCGTATTGGATGCACTGATATGTTATAGTCACAAAGCCCTTATCTTTACACAATGCAACGCATGATCTTTTTTCTATTGGACATTCCCCCTCCTTCAGGATTGCCGAATTGATGAACTTTCTTTGTGCAGATGCTTAATCGACAGGTGGTGAAGTCTGAGTCTGCTACTATTAAGGTACCTTAACGTGTTCATTCTAAATCTTTAATTGGATGAATGCTGACACAGTTCGTAGTGGTATCTTTTATTTAATGTCGTTTAGTTAGTCAGTTTGGTAGTAAGATTTCCACATTCCGGCTGTGGAGATTGGGGCTGCTATTATTAATATATCCCTATTGGTGCTAATTGACACTCATAGAAAAGATTATATTTTTCGTATTTATTTTTCACCTCTCCCAGACCCTGCGTAAAGCGGGAGCCTTGTGCACTGGGTACGACCTTTTTTTTTTTATATTTTTTTTATTTTTTTGTAATCCCCTTACAAGATGATCAAGAAGAGCAAGGAAATATTGCTTAGATATGTAAGAATAGCAATAATAAAATGCTAGGTTAGTCAAACTAGAATTAATTTTGTCTGTTCTCGTTCCTTGTGGCATTGTCTTAATTCTCTATTTGTATAAGGTAACAAAAATGTACTGAGTTGTGCATTCTCTTTCATCTTGTGTACACAGATTCCCGAATTGGATTTTGAGATTCCTCCAGAGTCTCAACGTGGATCTCTGTCAACGGTATTGTTTTACTTCCCCGTCTTCTCTAGTAGAGTTGGATAAATTGCTGCTTAGTGGATTAGCTCCATTCACCTTGGTAATTTTGTGGTTGGTAGTGATATCTTATTTTTTACATGTATGACCCTGTGTAGTGATCATGATATCAGTGCAGAATCTGCAGACCAGTAAAACTTTTGTATACCTTTTATTTTGTATCTTTCTGGATGGGTAGGCTTAAGTTGTTGGTTCTCCAAGAAGATTAACGTTGGAGATGGCTAGGCGTATTAAATGTATATGCAATTATATTATGCATGCACCTTAATGTTGGACCTTGTATCATCTTTTTAATTGTGTAGTTTGATCTTTGGTGTATAATTTTTCATATTTTGTGTCTTCAGTTCAATTTTTTTCCTTATATTTTTTAAGAAGTACCTACATTCCATCCCCACCCCACCCTTTCCCTTTTCAAACATCTTATATTTGTCTGATAATTCAGGTGGAGGGGATATTGTTGCGAGCCGCAGATGAATTGCAAGCACTGCAAGAAGAACGCAAGGTTCATGCAGAAGGTTTACATTTATTGTTTTCTGAGATAATGTAGTTTCTCTCAATATTTACTTACTGTCCTTTGGGTTTTCAGAAAGTGGATCCTCAGACTGCTGAAGCACTAGACCAGTTTTTGTTAAAGTTGAGAGCCTGTGCTACAGCAGACATGTCCTTCACCTTCATCCTTGATGATCCAGCTGGAAACAGCTTTGTTGAGAACCTGTAAGAGATTCGCAATTTTGAAAAGAGAACCATTTTGTTATAATTTTGGTCCTAGGGATTCATTCTATCAATATACGGTTTAAGTTGGAGTCACTTTTATAAGGAATGCAGCTAATGTCTCATAAGTGACTTGCATTTGTGGTGGACTTTGGATTTGTTTTCATTTCTTGTCGCTATAATTTGAAACTTAATTTGCTTTTTGTTTGGACTTTTCACTGACAGAGGGTATAAAATATTATGTGTGCAGGTTTGCTCCATCCCCTGATCCATCATTGAGTATAAAGTTCTATGAGCGAACTCCAGAGCAACAAACAGCATTAGGGTATGTTGTTGATGCAGCATCGACAGAAGCAGTTAGCACTTCTGACCAAGTACAAAGAGTCCCACATGGCTCAATTGGAGCAGCAGCTGGTCATCGGGCCATTGCTCAGAGTAATAGCGCTGAAATTGCTGAATCTTTGTTTCGATACACAGCTCCAGAGGAGGTACACATTTATTAATTGTTCTATGCATTATCCACATTTATAGATTTTTGAAACATTTAGTGAATTTTTCTACTGTTTGACAGGTGATGACTTTCCCATCGACATGCGGAGTTTGTACTGCTAGGTGTGAAACTCGAATGTTTGTCACCAGTATCCCTTTGCGTCTGTTATCAGTCTTCAGATATTTAAGTCAATAGGTTGGCTCTCTTTTACAGCTGACCTGGAACTTGTTTTAGTCTTGTGAAAATGAACCTTCTGCTTTAAATATAACACAATGGCCTCTCTGTAGATCCAACAGTAACTAGAAAAGAACACATCTAAAGCAAAGTTAAAACAATCCAGTTGGTTGTTAAAGAAACTTAGGACGTGCGACTAGAAGTCACTTTTACCTCTAGAACTTCTTTTTGCAATATCTTTTTCTTCTTAACCATTTACAGACATTCCATATTTTCAAGAAGTAATTGTCATGGCATCCACTTGTGACGCCTGTGGTTACCGCAATTCTGAGGTTTGTACTAATCTTCTTATTTTGTCGATTTGTTTTTTCTCCTCCATGCTTTGTTGTTAAATTATGCTCTCTTGTGCAGTTGAAGCCTGGTGGACGAGTTCCTGAGAAAGGGAAGAAAATTATTCTTCGTGTGAAGAATGTTAAGGATCTTAGTCGTGATGTAATAAAGGTCTATAACCCTGTTCTTATCATACCTTGTCTTTATCTTATGATGTTTATTACAATGTTCTTATCATTTCTTGTCTTTATCTTATTATCTGTGCATATACTACTTCCACTTTCCCTCATACAGTAACATGTAGCCCTTGACATTGCTTTCCTAAAGTTGACTTGTTCTAATGGTTCTGATTAGAGTGGTTGTTGGCTTAATATTAGAGAAAATTTTGCTGTAATTTCTGCACAAATGCACAAGAATATGGAACTTTAGATTTCCATCAGACAGAAAATTGTGAAAAGGATGGGGAGTCTGGACTGGTTTATTGGTTTATCAATTCAGTAGTTTTGTTTTGCCGTTGCTTGTAGTGCTAAGTGATGTACAGATATATACTATAAGAATGTGACAAAAAGTGTATTTTTCTTTTTGGGAAGGAAAAGATTTTGTTTGTTTGTTCTGTTTTGCCTGTTCATATAGTTGTATCCAAACAAGCATCCTGAATGTGGAGGATAACAATATCAACTTGGATGGGAATAAATGCATGTTGATTCCGCATCCATGAGATCTTACCTTTATTTTTATTATAAAGTTCCAACCGTAATCTAACAAACTATCATGCTGGATCAGTCTGATACAGCGAGCGTGATAATTCCAGAAATTGAGTTGGAGCTGGCTAGTGGCACTCTGGGAGGGGTTGTTACAACTATTGAAGGCTTGATAATGAAAATTAGTGAAAGTAAGTACTGATATTTCTGCCTCTTCCGTCTGTGACATGCTGTGATTTCTAGTACATGATTCGTTTAATTCCTTCCGAGTACCTACCTCTCAGAGAGTGGAATTTAACATTGGTATTTCTTCTAATTACCCAGAACTGATATGGTTCACCTGTGTTATGGTTTTGAGAGAGTGCCTTTATCATTGATTTTGCAGGTCTTGAAAGAGTGCATGGATTTAGTTTTGGAGACAGTCTTGATGAGAATAAGAG